TTCAGGCCCCCTGTAGAGGAAGGGAATCAGATAACTCTCCTAGGAGAAAGGCTAAATTATATTCCTTCTGTGTCCTACTTGGGAGTCTAATTCAGCAAGGCTCTCAATTGGGACATATTTCACGACCTATTATCGACTACAAGACATGTTTCTATGTGTCACTCAACAGTAGTCAAACCAAGAAACTCCTAGCCTGCATATGATACAAAATAGAATCCATTCTCACAGCAGAAGATATCTGTTAAGAATTATAAATAACCTGAACTGCAGAGCTAAGCTGACCCTCAAAACTCCTTGCCATCGCAGAGAGGTCACACATTCAGAAAAAATAATTCCAGTATTGCAAAGAATGCACTAGAGTGGAATCCGCAAGGAAGAAGAAAAAGAGGTCGCCCAGTACTAACTTGGAGAAGATCCATCACAGACGAGATCAGAAGTCAAAGAAAGTCTTGGAATGAGGTGAAGGCCTAAGCACAAAATATAATTCAATGGCACATTTTCACTGAAGCTCTATGCTCCACTTAGGGATACAAGAACATTCATAATATACATATGTATATATAACGCAGAGAGCACATACTCACCACCAGGAACCCACTAAAACAGTTCCTTTTCTATACTACGATATCCTTGAAGCCACTCCCCTTAAATATTGCTGACATAATAAGCTGCAAGCCAAAGACGCCAATCTGCTGTTACGTCATTGCTGACGTCTTTTGTATATGTGGTGACAGACAGGGTACTTCCTTAACAGAACATGACTGGCCTTATCTCTGCTTTCTAAAAAAAAATCCCAACAACCTTCTGCCTCCCGCTATGCTAGCAGCATACTGCCACTCTCCCCATTTGTGCTGACATTTAGTGCCATCCAAAATTCCCGCTAAAAAAGGCAGACTCCTCCTTGAAGAGACATACTGCCCAAATAAGGTAATGATGATTAAGATTCAAAAAATATTGTTGAAAATGTGTCATTTTTTAGCATTCTGGATAATAATAGTACCTTAACCAAAAATTGTATTGGTATTTATTAGATAGATTAAGCCATAATTAACTGTATAACAAAACCAACAATTATACTCAAAGTACGAAGTTGTTGTCAGTGACTCTCCTCTCTCTCCAAAGAAGCTACAGCCCAAATCAAGCCTTGGTCTCTTCCAACCTTTCCACCTTTTCCGTGGCCTTCCTTTTGGTCTTGCGCCCTGCATTTTACTATCTCGGGCTCTTTTTTTGTCAGTTATTGTGGCTACATCACAGGTTCATATAATATACATTCATATATATATATATATATATATATATATATATATATATATATATATATATATATATATATATGTATGTATATATACATTTTTGTCAGTGATATCACTTGAAAATCTAAAAACAGCATTCAGTGTTGCTACTAAATTTTTTTCTTGAGGTCAAAAGTACATTTCAAGTTCATTTCTGGCTCTGTATGAAAAATTCATGCATGAGCTTAAACAACAACACTATCTATAACTTATTACAGATAACTGAGCATATTTTCTTTCATTTTTATCAACTTTAAATGGTGTGTTTATACAATAAATTGGTTGCATCTACTGATTGGGTCCATACTCTAATGGCTATATATTTATAATAAGACTAATGTAACTATATGACATTTGAAGATAAATAATCCATAAGAAAAAACTAGTAATTAACAATTATCTACTAGAACAACTGAGTCATTTCAATTAACTCTCTCTTCAATCCTGACCCCCAGGGGGAGTGTAGTGGTCGACGTGATGTCGTGTATTGTCCGCCTCCAGAGATCTCTGTCTCTGGTCATTTCTTTTAATTCATGCATAGGTCTTTGCCATATTCCTGTAATTTGATCTACCCATCTTGTTGGGGATCTTCCTCGTGATCTTCGGCCTTCTACCTTTCCTTGTATTATGAGTCTTTCCATGTTTTCTGTATTTGCTCTCATAACATGCCCAAAATATTTTAATTGTTGGAGATGGACTTTACTAGAGAGTCGTTGGCTAACTTTTAGCTCTCTTAAAATTGAATTATTTGTTCTACGGTCGGTCCAAGGAATTCGTAACATTTGTCTCCAACAGAACATTACAGTGGCGTCTATCTTTCTTCTCTCCGATTGTCTCAGAGTCCAAGATTCACATCCGTAGATCAGTATTGGGAATATTAAGCAGTTGATCAACCTCATCTTTATCGCTCTTGAAATTTGACAGTCCTTCCATATTTTGGTCATTTTTGTTGTGGCAACATTTGCTAGATCACATCTACGTTTAATCTCATCTTGTAATGACCCTGTGTTCATGATTAATGATCCCAGATATAAGTATGAGCTCACAACCTTGAACCGGTCAATTGTGGTTATGTGTGGATGATTGTTGTGTAGTCTATCCACTATCATGATCTTTGTCTTTGATATGTTTAATTGCAGACCAAATATTCCAGACCAAATATATTTTATTCTGTTATGCGATATGGAGTAATCTTCTGGGGTGCTGCAGTAGATAGCTCAACTGTCTTTATAGTCCAAAAAAAGACAGTCCGGGTGATCTTAGGATTAAAGGCGGGAGAATCGTGTAGAGGTCGATTCAAGTCACTCAATATACTCACTTTCTCAGCCATCTATATATTTGAATGTATTATGTTCCTTTTTAAAAATTTTTCTTTGTTTTATCACCTGCTTCCCAATCATGAATATAGTACAAGAAGCCTTAACTTGAATTTGCAACTTCACAGATTGTCTATAACAGAGAGAAGTCCTTTGTATGCGTGTGTTAAATTTTATAACAGTCTACCAGCTGACATTAAACAGGAAACACACTATAGAACTTTTAAAAGAAAGGTTTTTCAACACCTAGTTGACATTGAGCCCTATACTGTGGCGGAGTGCCTGGCCTATCCTTCTCCTTAATCAGCATATTTAATTTGTAATGTTAATATATTTTAAATGTGTGATGTCAATATACATATACATATTTTTTTTTAATTTGTAATTAATAATGTTTGCTCAATCATGTTTAAAGATTTATGCAAATAAAATTTACTCTACTCTACTCTAAATATTTGACTTTCGTTTTCGATCAGTCGTATAAGTTCCATCAGCTCTGCTTGACTATTTGCAAGAAGGGCTGTGTCATCTGCGAAACGTAGGTTGTTTAGTTTATGACCATTTATTGAGATGCCCTTTTCCCATTTTCAATTAACTAGGATGTTGCATTTTAAAACAGTTTCTTGTTCAAAGCTAATGTACAAAATAAGGACACTTCTTTTTAATTTTTGGTAGTACAACCCTTTTGAGTTTTGGCCTGCTTAACAATATGCTTTTATTCTGATGGCTACATTCCTTCTCTACTGTCAGATGTCCACGGCTTTAAGGTCCTTCTCTAGATAATGTTCTGTTTTCTTTGGTTTTTATCTGTGCATTAATTTTTTTGTCTAGCTCATGGTTCATCTAAACTATTTATGTACTATTTCTCTCGATTCAGTAATTTGCTTTTCAATAAATCTTTGTATGTATAAAAGCACTTATTACTGCTAAGAATCTGTGCATATGTTTCTTAACTAACAGTATCCTTCTCTTTTATTATTGAGCCAAGGTAGAAGAAGCTGAAGGCATATTCATAGGTATGATTGTCTATGTTTAAGTTCTCATGTAGATCAGGTTTTGTACACTATAATTTGCTTTCCTTATATTAACATTTAGACCAAGTTTTGTAGATTCTCGTTTCAGGTCAATGGTTTTTTGCTCAACATCCCTTTCAACCAAATATTTTGGTTTTTTTTTGTAGCATACAATCTGCTATATTTTTTCTTACTTATGTTCATATCAATACCCCAATCAATATTCTGATTTGAACCAAATGCAACAGGATCTGAAAATATGGATGATTTTAAAAAAATGTTGCTGTCCCTAAAATGTAGTTTATTTGTCCATTTGCTATAAAATTCCATTCATTTCATATATAAAATAAAATGTGTTCATTAATGCAATATTTGCAAAAGAGCTTATAAAAGTATCCACATATTCAACCTATCTTTTTCAAAAATCACAGATGTAAATGTTAAATGGAAACTCTCTTATTGTTATATATTGTTACTGTACCTTTGGTATAAGATTTGAAATGCAATTTGTTTTGGTATAACGATTAGTTATAGACTTAATATAGTATTTACTAACTCTGGAAGTAGCCTGTTTGATATAATTGTAAAAATATTTTTTTTTAAATCTGAACTTGTATATATTGTAGATTTATAGTCTCGTATAGTATTATATATGTATATTATCAATCCGAAACCGAAAAATTATAAGATAAATGGAATATTTTCTTTCAGGTTATGATATTATTACATTACTTCTATAAACAAGGGAAATGTGAAAAGTTTAGAGCCTACTGGACATAGATAAATAGAAGATGATATGTTTTGAAAAATACCAAAGACATCAACTACTGAAGAAATTATCAAGAAATAAAATACAGTTCTATGTAATCATTGATTATGTTTATAACATAAGATTGGGCTGCAGACATTCAGAAGAGAAAATATGACACTTCTTACGAAAACAAGTCTATACGAGAAAGTTTTATGTAAGACTGGCACTACATTTGTTAAATGTTAACTACAACTAAACAATGAGTCAACTTCTTGATCAATATTTGTGACACTGACAAAGAAAAAATGAACTGATTTTGGGGCTACTTAAAAGAATGTAAAGAAATCAAAGTTATAGTTTCAACTAGTATCAACAGTTAGCATTTCTTGGGTCTCAAATAAAGAGATTACCACCAAAAAAAAAATTGCAAAAAAATATTGTAGCATTTAAAACTAAATAAATTGAAATATACCAAAAAAATAAATAAATATACAGAAAATGTTTTTTTATTAGGTATTTCCAATAAAAGAATTTCCCACAAACAATGTAAATCTTATATAACTTAGACATTTAAAAATAGTGTTACTATCATCTAAAATTAAATGTAATTTGCAACATATGAACTTACCGTCTGCAAAAGGATCCACTCTTTCAGGAGAAATAATCATCCTTCTCCTTTTTTGTCTATATTCATCTTCCCTATCAGCAATTGTAGGTCTACGACGGTCAGCAAATGGATCATAGCCCTTTTCACTCTAAACAAAATTTGTAATAGCTATATATTATATTTCAAATGGCAATACGCTGCATAAGAAATGTGAAAATTTTGATAATAAAGAAACATTTGATAGGCAGATCATTAGATCAAACATTAGATCTGCTAAATGGTCCCAATGCACTAAAGAAAACAAATTAAATACTATGTTTATATGGGGTTGAACCACAATTGTTTTTACCTAATAGTTTGATGTTTCAATTTACACTCGGGAAATCATTCTTCAAAACAATTGATGAGAATCTTGTCAACAATCTTGGCAGTTATACATGGTTTTGTAACAAAATTGTTTAATAATTTTTTCGAGAACAATTTCTGGAGAGGAAATTGAAACATCAAATTTTTAATTAAAATGTAATTGTCATTACAACCAATTGTGGCTCAATCCCATATAAACATTGTATTTAACTTAGACATGCCACAAGAAAACAGTACCTTATTAAAGAAAACTAAGTTTTGTTATAAAATATAAAGCTGCTAATAAAATAAATAGGCGGTATTTGTTTACTCCAGCCCCTATGCTTGAGGAATCAATAAATAGAGTATATCTTTAAGGTTATGACAATACTTTATATATCCTGATTGATTTTACTTGAATAAATATAAATCTAATTTATAGCAAAATATTTTACCTCTGCAACATCGTTTAAAAGAGCTACACGTCCTCCCAATCCTGCTCGTTTACTAGAAAAGCCTACATCTTCTTCATCATCATCCACTTCATCATTAGCAGCGATGGATGTAACATATCCTTCATACTTTCCTTTGCCGGTTTCGTAAATTTCATCGTCGAAATATCCACCCTCTCCTAGTTTTGGTTTTTTCTCGTCGGGTTTTTCTACAGGAACTTCTTTTTTCTTTGACTGAATTTCTCGAATTTGTGCTTCTATGTCTGAAAGGGTCAATAATGTAAAGATCATTTTTCGTTTTGTCTGTTAATATTCCGGACTTACCTTCATGTGTGCGAGGGATGTTGTCCATGGTTATAATTTACAATACCATTAGCGAGGTAAAATATTATTCTCTCTCTGCTTGTGATTATTTATCAAATATAAAATAACAACACTACAATGTGGAAGTAAATGGGCGATAGTCTGCTGTCACACGTCACACGTCATTCTGTCAAGCCTCTTAAAGCTCAGGGGAAATCGATTTTTTTGAAAAATAACCAATAGGACTGATGCGAAGTTAGCCATGGGTGGAGGCATGTAATAATTTGCGAGGGGATGAAAAATATGGTATTTTTGATGCTTTGGCAATAATGTAAGCACAAAGACATACAAAATTACAGAAGAAACTACCGTCAATCGGGGTGAATTAGAACAATTTTCAGATATTTTACTAAATAAATTTTTTTCTAAAAACACAAGAGGCTTCGGACAAAATTGTAGGTCTCTATTATAGATTTTAAAATGAATAGGTACTTAGTTCACCTGTCCTATTGGCAGGTAATTAAAAAAAAATCTGTAGCTGTCCCAATTGACCCTGCATTTGGGGTCAATAGGGACATCTTATTTATTTGTATGAGAAGATTCAATTGGCCCCACAAAAAAGGTGTATTGGGTCAAGAGAAGTTTTAAAAAATTACGTTCATAAAAAAATCCACAAAAAAGAAAAAATAAACGTTTAACTTTAAAAAGATTTATTATATAACAAAAATACGTTTAACTTATTAAACTGCTTAAGCAAAATCATTTTAATTTACTTATAATTTAATTTTAATTGAATTGAATACGCCTATTGACTCAGCTTCCAGGAAACGGCTTGACCGTTTCAACCGTTGACCGTGAAAACGAAATTTATAGCCACCTCTTCTTAGGATGGTCGGTTTCGAGAAAAACCTTTTCACTTGGTTTCTGTTAGTTTGGAATTTTATGTAAGTAGCTCTTCTTTTATCTCCTGAAGTAATCCAACACATTACTTATTGCCATTTTCAGTAAAATATTCTACTTCAACAAAATCACCTGTTTCAAAATTTAGGGGTTCATCAGGCTGGCTTTTATCAGAAGATGAAGAATTTGATTCCTCATAGGCGTCTAGCTCCTTAAATTCATCTAGACTATATAAATCCTTATTAACTACTTGAGAATTGGATTGGTGCTGTGAAATCTTCTATGGAAACAATATGTCCAGGTGTAACAGGCACTTTTCTTTTTTGTCACGGTTGGCTTATAAGCATTTATTTCTGAATTCAACAAATCCACAACAAATACTCCCCAGTAGGGGCACATTTTCGCCATCATTTGGTTTCGGAAGTTGTTTCAATACTTGATTCTTATGGAATTTTCCTCACACAGTCCAATTACTTTATAAGGTGACTGCACAAGTTGTCTCTCTCTGTTAGGGTAATACTAGGGGAAGCGTGCCTAAGTTGTACGCTTGCGCACGAAGTTTGTAGTTTAGTATTTGCAAAGTTTCAAACACGTGGCTGTTATAACAGTAAATTTGTAAAATAAAATTAAAATTTGGCGTTGCTGATCTAATAAATTTTTTTGGTAAGTAGCATTTTACTGGTAAAATACGTTAAGCTAAGTGTTGCTTTTGTTTTGTATAAAATGACTACACCTTCTTTGTCAAATACTATATTTTGTGTTAGGTTAAAATGGTCAAAACAAAAGTAACAGAATTAAATTTGTTGCCTTGTCTGTTTGCCTATGATGGACCCCTGTGTCGTTACCTATGACGGACTAGGGGTCCATCATAGGAAAAAGAAAATAAAATTGGACACACCTTCAGTTTTTGTTACTTAATGATTAACATAATATGTTTTATAGGGATGGTGTAATGTGAGCGTAGCAAGTGAGTGAGAAGTTGAATTAAAGGGCTAAGTAGCATATAAAAGATAATAATTATTCGAGATAATTATTATATATTCCAAATTAAATAAGGGATAATTATTACAGTAAAATTCGCATTTTAAATCACACAAAGAAATTGACCTAGTTATTGCATTGTTTGTTAATTGTTTAAACATAGAAAAGCACGTCAAACACAAACTGTTATTGTAATGCAATATAGGACCCACAATTCAACGAAAACACGACCTTGGCACTATAACCGGTATTGAAAACATGAGCTCGATAAAAACTGGAAAACTGGGACAGCCAAGTCATTAGTCAGTCAGTCAGTATTAGTAATACGGCGGACGCGGTCCGTAGTAGCGGGGCAACTGTGCCTGCCCAAGGCAGTAATTGCCTCCGGGAGCGTCCAGTACGCGAGTAGTTAGTAATCAGTAGTCAGTAATGGGCAGTCAGTAATTGCTGAGCTCTGGCTCGGACGCGATAGCGTCCCGTACGCGATCAGTAATTACGCGGGACAGTCGGTGATTCTCCGGGGGACGCGTATCATCTGGCATAGTATCGCGTGTAGTCCGGTTATTGTGGCAGCTCGAAAGTTCGCAACCCTCAACTGACCGAGTTCCAGAAGACTGAACGTGTCGTGGTTGAAAGCCCTAATATACACATAAGGTAACAGATTTCTTTATACTAACCTGTGTAATTATATTAGTACAACTGTCAACTCTTCACTATCTTGCTAGATCGTCTCCCGACGCGCAGAATAACGTGTTAACGATTGTATTAGTAACTTCAGGGTAGATTCAATATATTGTTGACTCCAATTTGTTTTTTTTTTAATGTTCCTTTCGTCCGACTCACTAGAGACTAGGAGAACACGAGATTTCTGCGTATGCATATCTCCCGCTTCAAAAGTAAGCCCATAACCTCTGCTCTTTACAGGACCTGAGACCTAGGAGTCCTTACCCCTATCCCGAAATCCCTTATCTTCTCGTAAATCCACGAAGACGAGCCAGCCCTCCAGACCAGTGTGACCAGTATTCCTTGCAGCCGCTCGCAGGGTTAGCATCCCATGAGGATCTATTGTGTATTTCATTTGGTGACAGTCTTTACAGGACCCTATACATAGAAGTTCCTTACCCCCCTAATCCTGAACTTCTCTCCACTTCTCGTAAATCTGTCCCAATGTATTACTTTAAAATGGCTCTACAAAAAAGGCAACAGTGGAACGAGAGTAATATGCAACAAGCTTTAAAAAGCATACAAGAAAAAACTATGGGGTTTAAGCTGGAAGCAAAAACATTTAACGTTCCAAAAACGACTTTGAAAAGGCGCTTTATTAAGCATCAAGGAAGTATCAAAGGTGATTTGGGAGGACGAAGACCAATATTCTCCACTACTATTGAACAGAAGTTGCTGACCATATTATTACTATGGAAACTCGTTTTTTTTGGCCTGACTAGTAAAGATTTGCGACAACTTGTATACGAAGTAGCTGAAAGAAACAATATTAGCCACAATTTTAATAAGGAAACCAGGATGGCAGGCTGGAAATGGGTCAGAGGCTTTTTAAAGCGAAATCCTCGAATATCATCACGCACTCCAGAAAATACTTCGTTGGCAAGGGCTCAAGCTTTTAATAAACCAAATATATGTGCCTATTTTACTGCATTAGCAAATATTTTAGACGAGTTTCACTTTCCACCGGAAAACATTTATAATATGGACGAGTCCGGTTTGACAACTGTGCAAAAGAAATCGCAGAAAATTTATGCTAGTAAAGGTCGCAAACAATTTGGTGCTTTAAGTAGTGCAGAGCGCGGTCTACATGTTACGGTCGTATGTGCAATGAATGCAATTGGAACATATGTTACTCATGCTTTGATTTTTCCTCGACAGAGAAAGAAAGATGAACTTATGATCGATGCACCTGCTGGAAGTATAGCCTTCGCTCAAGAAAAAGGACGGATGACTTCCGATATTTTCTATTTGTGGCTGCAACATTTTTTAAGGTATACAAAGGCTTTTAAAACCAACAAAGTTTTGTTGTTACTCGATGGCCATGGTAGTCACAAAAGTTTTGAAGCTCTCCAGTTTGCAAAGGAAAACGCTATTATTATGTTTTGTTTTCCTACTCACTGTTCTCATCACGTTCAACCCTTGGACGTAGGATTTTTTAGACCACTTCAAATTTACTACGGCCAAGAAATTCAATTATGGCTGCGACATAATCCAGGTAAAACTGTGACCCAATTTAAAGTAGCCAGTCTCTTTAATAGAGCGTATTTAAAAAGTGCTTTACCATCAAATGCAATCAATGCATTTAAAAAGACAGGAATACAACCATTCAATCCAGATGTCTTCGAGGATTGGCAATTTTTGCCGTCTATAACAACAGATAGAGAAAATTCTGAACAAAACCCACTGCCAGAATGTTCTGACCAGAAGTCACCACCGGAACATTGGAGCCAAAATTTTTCTTCGATTGAAAGTTTATCAAAAGGCCCCACTGATCAGAAATCAACATCATCGTCAGTTCTTAACATCTCGGTAGAAGATATTTGTCCTCCTCCTTTAGCTGGAGTATCTCAAGTAATGCAGAAAAGGGGTAGAAAACGGGGCAAAACAGGATATTTAAATTCAACGCCAGAAATTGAAGATATAAAACAAAAAATTGCAGACAAAGAAACAAAAAAATGAAACAAGACACCAGAAAAGTGAAAAGGCAAGTTCGTGTTTCAACTACAAGTGGTTCTGAAGACGATTGTGAATGCTCTTTTCTAGAAGGCGACTCGGACGATGCAGCTTGCATCTACTGTAACGAACTATTTTCGCATTCACGATCCAATGAAAACTGGATTCGTTGTCAAGTGTGTGTGTCACACTGAATATGCAGATGTAAATCCTCGACATAAACAATTTGTGTGTGAATTGTGCGCGTAATTTTTTTATTCTTGAAAATACCATGTGTAATATTTTTTATCGTTTGTAATGTCTTTTGATCTAATAAAATAATTTGGTATTTAATTATTTTACACAAAATGCAACGAGTCCATCATGGGCGTACCAAAGGGTCCATCATGAGCGCATATATGCCCATGATGGACCCTTAACAGGATTTTAGTAAATTATGAATAAATTTTTAACATCACTTTTTCTGCACAATTTGAAACATTTGCCATATTGTACAAATAACGAGACGTTATGTGGTTATATTTAAAGTCTGCTAAGTAAATAATTAAAATTATTATGAAGCTATTTTCTTATGGGGACCATCACAGGCACATTTCCCCTAATCTACAGTAGGGTAATACCAAAAGCTTTAAAACTCGTATATTGTCTTGCCCTGGCACGATGTAAATAGAATGTTGATTGACTAAAACATATTTGCCTACCCTGATTGCAGGAAAGTTGCTTTATCCACCGTTGTATTAAAGTTGTGAGCTAAAAAAGTTTTTCCGAGATTCTATTATATCAGCAAAACATTTTTGAAGTTAAGTTTATCATCGTTAAAATGTTCTTAACATGTTATATAGACACTTATAGTACGTATAATTCCATTTAAAAAACATGTGTTTGTCTCTACTCTGATTTTAAGTAACATGGGATGCATTATAGGAAATTTACGTCCAGTTTGAAGCGGGCTATGCCAGCCTGCCGGTCTTATCCATCTTCTTCTTCTTCTTCGTTTGGCATCATAAAAGCCTGGATAAGTTTTTGCCTATCTAGCTATATCGTTTCATTCAGATCCCTGTTGGGCCCTTCTCCTCCATTGTTTTATATTCATGGTTTTCAGGTCGTTTTCCACATCATTCAACCAACACGTCCTGGGCCTTCATTTTCCTCTTTCCTACCAGCTTTCCCTGTAACATTTTCTTTGTCATTTTCGTGTCTTCTTATCGCTGAACATGTCCCAGCCGTAACAGTCTTTGACTTTCCACAAATCTTACAATGTAATACCCTTCATTCAGTTTATTAACCTCGTCGTTTCTTCTGATTCTCCATGTATCGTCTTCCTCTTGCACCGGACCATACACTTTTCTTAGTATCTTTCTCTCGAATGTCCTGGGTTAGGCTTTCTCTTTTCTCGTCATTACCCAGGTGTCACAAACATAGGTTACTACGGGTCTAATCAAAGTTCTGTAGATAGTCATTTTGGTTCTTTTGTCTAATAATTTCGATGTTATCAAACTTATTAGAATAGTATGTACGATTTCCACTGGAAATAGACATGTTAATACATAGACGTATGTATTAGCATTAATAACATGTTAATATATACGTCTATGGTATAACCCTATATATTTTTTATTGATTGCTTGTTGTGCGGTTTAATAAAATTTGGGTTCTCTTACAGATGTCACGCACATATATTAGAAAAACTCAGAGAGCTTGATGGATTGAGGAATGGATATGCCGCCTATGTTTATTTATTTCCGCAAAAGAATGTCATCAAATTTGAAGAAGCATGTAGCCCCTGTCCTGATATTCCCCATCAGAGGAATATCAGATAGAGTGGCATATATGATAATTAAATTTAAAAAAACAACTTTGAAACTAATTCAGATATACGCACCAACCAGTACATACTCAGATGAAGACATTGAAACATTCTATGAAGAAATATCAAAAGCATTGGATAAAGAAAAGACCCGACTAACAATTGTGATGGGAGATTTCAACGCCAAGCTAGGACAAAGACTAAATGACGAAGAAACAAAAATAGGAAAATATGGATATGGTGTACGAAACGAAAGAGGGACAACCCTGTTGAACTACACGGAGGAAAGGAAACTCTGAACTCATTTTTCAACAAGAAGCCACAGAGAAAATGGACCTGACACCAAAACTAAGAATGAGATCGACTACATATTATCAACACAAAAATACGTAGTCAAGGATGTCACAGTGCTAAACCGTTTCACAACAGGCAGCGATCACCGAATGGTGAAGGCTAAGATACAAATTAACAGCCAATTTGAAACCAGAAAGAGAATCAAAAACGTACAAAAACGTATGGTCACACTCTCCGGCAAAAAGATGAAAGATGGAATACGCGAATTCTACACTGGAGACCATAGATGAGATGGACTGACGACCTTAAGAGAACGACAGGAAAGGACTGGATGCCGATCGCTCAAAATAGAGACCAATGGAGATTAACAGGGGAGGCCTATGCCCAAGAGTGGGCGTTTAAGGCTGATTATATAGATAGATGGAGCCCCTGTAACAATGTATGAATACTCTGACAATGGATAGATGACTAAAGAACTATTTATGTTATGGCTTCAACATTTTAAGGCATTTGTAAAAGCATCCACAGTGCATCCCGTACTGTTAGTCATGAATAACCGTATCACCCACTGCACGTTGCGAGCCTGCACTTTTTGTAATAAAAACGGTATCATTGTTTTAACTATAAGCCCACATACTTCTCTTTGCCTTCGACCATTAGACTTGGCTTTTTTCTTTTCCTTATCGCCAGGTTGTAATAACCAGTGACAAAATATTTGACAAGCCATCCAGGTGAAAAAATTACACCAGATAAAATAGCCGAACTTTTTAATCTTGTTTTTGATAAAGTAGCTACACCCAAGAAAGCTAGAAAATGATTTGAACAGACGGGATTGTTTCCATATAATCCTGATGTTTATAAAGATGAAGATTCTGCTCCGACAGAAACCCTACAAAAAAAATCCATTCGACACCTGAAAAGACTGCTCCTAATATAAATAACGACCCCATTGATAGCACAGGACGAGATTAATGTACGTCTTTCACAGAAATAATTCTGATTACTTCCTGCTCCAATGCCAATAAGATGAAGACCCAAAAAAAGTCAACCAAACAGCATTACATAATTTTCACTTTAACACAAAATGTAAAGACATGGTTTTTTCATTTGTTTGTATTTTGAAAAGTATCATTTTTGTAACTTATATAATAATTACGACTTAAAGAGCATATTGTATCCTTTCATTTTACCACCTTTCTATTTCTAAAAATCATTTGAGTTCCATGTTATTTCAGAATGACTCTAGTTAGAGCTTATTTTTAGCTTATTTTAGAGCTAGAGTTATTTTTCTTCCCTTTGGAAATTCTAGTTCTTGTACTCATCCGCATTTATATATATTTATTCTTTTTTGTTACAATTTTAATATTTTTTTACTAATGCTCTTGTACTGTTGTAGTATGTACTTACTTACAAAAAGGGAAATAAAACTAAATGATGGGATTTGGAGTATTTATTTTTTAGATTTATATGTTACCAAATGATAAAGATGTATAAATTTTACTCTAACAAGTATATAAAATAGTTTTTATTACATTAAATACATACAGTTTGTTTTTTTTATAGAAAAGTCAATTTAATTTGTTTATCCTTAACATTGAGACATACCTTCAAAGACAATAAAAAAAACAGAAAACAATTACTAAAAAAAATAGATTTTACCAATAAGGAATATGTGTAGGTATGGACTACCTATAATATATTGTGTACTCTACTTTGTGGTAACTCTTAAATCTATTTTTGCATTTCCTGAATTTAAAAGGTAATTGTTCTCGGTATTGATTTATCTGAGTTGGCCACGACCAGACCTTCCTGCGTCAGATTTATTAGACCAGAACGGATCTGTTTAGAGGTGGATGTGAGAGATGGCAGTCTGAATTTGGAAGAAAAAGTTATGTGATAGGGGTGAATTACCCAGTACCGAATAGTGCCTAGTACCGGACAGAGTGTGTTTCCGATAAAGTCTGCTAAATAGTAGAGATATGCACTCTAGCAGTAAAAGCTCTATACCACTTAGGTCCACAGTGCAGGCGGCTGTCATTTCGTGTCAGTCTGATACTAACAGTGAATGAGGTATATATTTTTGTCGCGTTCGTCTCTTCTTTTTATTTTTCTGTCCCCAAGAGCATGCTGGTAAACACAATCAAACAGCTAAGAGGAGGTAGGGACGTGGGTACGAAGCCACTTACGGGTCATTTTAAGGAGACATTTTCTAAAGAGGTAGAAACCAAATTATTTCAGTATTTAATAGGTTTAGTATTTAAAGAGCTTGTAGGATTTGCTATTGAGTTAGTTGAGCATTTAAAACTTCCGCACCAATTTAATAAAGAAAGAAATATTGCAGAAGAAAAGTTTTATTATGAATGTTTGAGCCGCCATTTTAAGCTTTCGTTGTGAATACCACAGTCAACAAGTATTTAAAGACCTGTCGGTTTCAACAAACCACAAGTGGACCTTTTCTTCAACAAATATGAAGCAATGCTATCAACATTTAACTCCCTCAAAGGTAATAAACTTCGATAAGGCAGGAGTTTCTGTGTGCACTATAATGCCTCAATGGTTCTGTCATAGAAAGGAAACAAGCAGGTTAGTAAAATCACATCGGAAGATAGGAGCAGAAATGTAACTGTGCTACTATCTATCAACGCGACATGTGATGTATTTTTATTTCCATTATTTGTATTTAGTAGAGTTAAAATGGCAGAACAGTTGAATAATAATGCTCCAAAGGTATATAAGTATGTTTGCTTGCAAACAAAGTGGGTGGATAACTGCCAATTCCTTTTTGCTTTGGCTACAATTGCCTTGTTACTCTAGTGAATCTCACTAAGAAAACTCCGGATTTTTTGATAATTGATGGCCATAGTTCTCACAAGGAACTAGAAGTAATTATATATGAGAAAAACCACAATATTCACACCAAAGTCTACCTCCTCACACCACCCACAAGATTCAGCCTCTTGACCAAGCAATAATGAGACCCTTCAAGGCTGCGTACAATAAGTCTTGTGCAAAGTGAATGAAGAAATATGGCCCGCTTAAAACAACCCAAAGAGACATTGCTGGGTTGGTTAATACAGCTTTCCAAGTTATTTGTAGGATGGAACTTACAAAGTCTGGGTTAGCTTTTACTAGTTTGTACCGACTAGAGAAGACCATTTTTACAGATCTAGACTAACTTGCTGAAGCTCACTTTTCTGAATACAAAGAATTCCATAGTGACACAGTCCCCTGCAGAACAACGCCATCTGGACCACAATTGGCTACAACAGACAGGTTTGATGCAGCTTTATCTATCTCTTCTGAAAAACTACTAAAATCGTGTTCTACAGTTTTTCCTCCCAGCATATCTTCGGCATCAAGTAGCTCTACTGTGATAGCTCGTATTTTAGCTACTGCCAGGACTTCTAAATCCTGTGATAGACTTTTCACGTCAACGATACCAATTAGAGCAAGTTTGGAAATGGACACTAAAGAAGAAGAAACTACCGATTGTCTCATCTGCGTAGAAACTACAAATGAAGATTGGGTACAGTCAACTATATGCAAGGGCACGCGTGTAAATTCAAAAATATTTACATAACTTACAAAACATTTAACAAAATGTATTTCATTATGTAAGCCATACGATTAAAGTTTTTTAATGTTTCTAGTACATGGCAACTGTTTCTGTAGCATAACAAAAAATGAACTTTTTTTTAAATTTGTTAATATGATATCTTTAACCACAGAATTTTGAGAATAAAAATTTTTCTATGAACAACAAACATATTTACTTTTAAAATGTTGCATTTTTATTTCTTCTTTCTATATGTGTCTCAAAAAAAATATTTTCAAAATGCTTTATGTGTCCGTTAGACACTGGGTAAATCTGGCAAACTTTAATAATAATAATTGACTCTCCCTCCCTTTCAAATCGACCGGGAATAATAATATAAAAAACAAAACGTTTATAAACAATTTAAAATATCGTTTTTTTACATTTCTTTATTATAACTTTAAAACGATTCATTTTGGAGCAAAGTCGTAATAAAATAAAATAGCGACAATTGAATTTTCTATAAGATACGACTGGTTAAAAATGTTTTAATTTATTACCCTTGTAGCAAAATGGCAATAAATATAAAAAAAGAGGAAAAAGATAAGAGCTAGTAGAGCTCTTTCTCTATAAAACTTTTCAAATTTTAAAATCATATCTAAAAATACCAAAAAAACTAGGTTGAAGAAATTTGAATTTCAAAGTTCACAATCGATATACACAGAAAAACATTTTCTCGACTTCCAGCGGAACAATTGACATTTTTTGGCCGGGCCGAGCTAAGGGTAACTAATGTTGTTGATGTTAAACTGCCTAAACAACAGATAAAACACAAGAGTTGGCGACGATAAAAAATAGTCAAAATGCGGAGAAAATAGACCAAACGAATATGAAACGTTGAAATATAGAGAACGAATTTTGCCAAAGTCGATAGTCTCAATGTTGTCAAAACATACTTTTACCCTAATTTATCTAAAATGACAATTTTACTAGTATTTTAACTACCTAACCGAAAGAGTTTTGTACTGGTATAGCATTTCCCGTAGGAGTTTCCTCTTCAGTTTCTTCTTCTTCATCATCTTTCGACTTGTCCTTAGTTTCATCCACCTCTCCCATCAACGCCCTGTACTTCTTCGCTATAGCTTCCCAATCTGTCACGTGTTCTATCCTAGTCGTTTGCATGGAGAAGCTTAATTGTGAGCCCAGCGGACTGAGATGGGCCACGGATAGAGCTACAGATTCTTTCGGCGCGATCTGCCTGCCCTTTTTGACTTTGGACAGCCATTTGGCGCCTGCTTTGGATCTGGGGCTCAGCTGGGAGGAGCGTTGGAAGGTGCCCATTAGATGGACTAGACTTTGGCGTTTTCGTTGTTTCACTGGAATAAAATCTATTTTCCAAGTTGTTTAATAAGGTTTCTACATGAAGTTTGGTGAAATTAGCAATGATTTTAATAAAAAGAAAACAGAATAATATAATTCTCAGTTTAAACAACATATTAATACTAAAATTTACTATAAAATCTTTAGTATATTTACAGATTTTTTATTGTGACATTTTGTATACATTTTTTTTGTAAAGTATGATATAAATGTACAAAATAAATCTTTCAGAACACATTTCGGTAACTCAGATTAATAAAGAGCAGTGCATGCCTTGGAAAGTTAAGGGTTTTCTGATCACTATCAGAAATTTGTATAATATTAGCATATTATATTCATTTCAAGACATTTGCATATCATCAGATATACGAAGGCATCTAATATTCAAACTCAGAGAAAAGCATAGTGTATGTTACTCTTTTTACTACATTACTTATGGCTTACTACATCTCGAAGTATGTAATTTGGGAGTCGCATAAAAATTATTCATTTTATTTTGATGCAAATTTGATACGATACAACTAACGAATCCTAAGCTGGCTTGATTTTTGAGCAGAAGGAGAAGATGAAATGTTGTACTTTAAATGAAAAAATATGTTCTTGGACGCTGTTTCTTGTCATAACTATATACCAACTGTACACAAAATACAAATATTATTTGTAAATACTTTACAGTACTTTACTAAAAATTCACGTTTAACTTGAATAAAGAAGCGTCGACGTCGGTCGAATTACTGTGGTATATATTCATATTTTGCCTTATTCGATATTTTTTTTATTTTATTAATTTGGCTAGGCTCCCTGTACTTTTACTACCTTTAGCTATTCATTTCGTGATTTCTGGGCTCTCCTCATTTTTATCTATTAACATTACTCAACAGAATCCCTTGGAAAAGGGATTCTGTTGGACATATTTATGTTTCGTGGAGCTTAAGATATCCGATATAATCCGGATATTAGTTGGATATCCGATACCAATTTGTAAAAACGTTTATTTATTCCATACTGCTATACGGAGTGGAAACATGGACTCTCGGAATTACAAGTATGCCTTTGAGCAGCCTTTGAGATGTGGGTTTTTCAAAGGATGCTGAAGATCTCTTGGACAGAGCACGTTACCAACAACGAGATTCTAAGAAGAATGGGTACTGAGAGAGAACTCCTAAATATTGTAAAAAACAGAAAAACGAGTTATCTAGGACATATTTACAGGGGAGAAAAATACAACTTCCTACGACTTATAATGGAAGGGAAAGTGAAAGGAAGAAGAGGTCCAGGAAGAAGAAAATTCTCCTGGTTGAAGAATGTAAGAGACTGGACAGATATGGACACACATTCGATATTAAGAACAGCTCAAGATAGAGAGCAATTTGTTGTAGTTATGGCCAACCTTCAGTAATGGAGACGGCACCTTAAGAAGAAGGAGCTTAAGAAGGCATTTGATCGAATCAAATTAAATGACGTTATCTACTTATTGTACGCAAGAGAGATACCTTTAGGAATAATCAAAACCATCAAAAATATCTATCAAAACAACACAATAAAAGTAAAAGTAGAAGAAGAACTACCTGACCCTATTGAAGTTGGCAATGGGATAAAACAGGGAAATTGCGTGAGTCCTCTATTGTTTAACCTGGTTGTAGATGAAATAATAAAAAAGTAAGAACTAAAGACGAATACCAAATGGGGAAAAACAACTTAAAATATTCTGCTATGTAGACGACGCAATACTACTCTATCAAAGTGAAGATGATTTACAACGTATGCTGCACCAATTTAATATAACCGCAAGAAAATTGAACATGTTTATTTCCCAAAAAAGTGCATGGTTATAGCAGCACATTTGCTAAGATGTAAATTGAAGCTGGAAGGTCAGATAACAGAACTAATGGAGTTTAAATATCTAGGCATCACATTAGCTACGGCAAAATCAAAATAGAAGTGGAAGATCAAGTTATTAGAGAAAACAGAGTCGCAGGTTGCCTAAATTAAATAATATGGAGAAATAAAAATATCGGAAAAGAAATGAGATGCAGAATTTACGAAACCCTCATCACATCAATAATGCCATACGCGGCAGAAACACGACCTGATACAGAGAGGACAAAAAGAATGTTAGATGATGTTATCTACTGTTGTAGAGATGAAAACACTTGACAGTAAAACACTATGGGACAGAGCTAAAAGTACGGATATACGACGTAGATCTAAGTGGAGAACATCAAGGACTCGGTAAGAAATTAAAGAGTATAATAGAACAATCATATAAGCCAAATGACAACAAAGATAGTGTAAAGACGGCAAGGGACGGTTCCCCTATAGAAAGACGATCAGTAAGAAGACCACGGAAACGATGGAACGACAACTTACTGGAGGTACATTAAAAAACAGACAGTCATGTCTACATAAAAAAAGAAGGGAACAAGAAGAAGAATAACATTAATCCGAGGTATTTAATTTTTGTTTCCGAATGTCCGACACTAAAGGTGAAAAAAATATACCTACCTTGTTATACGTCTTTTTACCACAGATCTCTGTTTACACGATGTACAAGCAAAGAATGATTTTACTTCCAGAGAATATAAAATTACGTATTGTAACACAATTAATATTTGGCATCACTGCCACCCGATGATATAGGATGGCATGGCCGGATGCTGTCAATTGATATATAGCCATTAGATTGCGAACTATGGACATAACGTTTTGTTGTAACCTATTTTTAAGAAGTTATTGTTCTTTTCATTTCAACCTATTTATTTCAACCTATAGTTGCTACTAGTTGTATTTACAGTGTAGTTAAAGAACAAGATACGAAGAAACACGGAAATAATCTTATCCCTGTCGTGTATCTTACACCCTATAACCTACCACTGCTTTATAGTATATTTTATTATACCGTAGTACAAAATAGAAAAAACTTGAGTGATTTATTACAAATTACTTATTTAAAAAATTTAATCATGTGATATGTGTATATTAAGTAATTGATGGATTCGACCATAACTTGATGGAAATTCATTTTATGTAACAATAAAACACTGAAAACTTTGTTTTCAAACTTCCACAAAATTTATTTTAACCTCTTATCACTACAGATGTTTCGGCTGATTGCCTTTCTCAAGTAATAAGTATTTTATGTAAGGAGTGTGCGATTGTGCACCCCAATGGTATCGCTGAACATGAGTCCCATATACATTTGTATGGTTATGGGACGATTGCGATAATTTTACATGAGGTACGATCAGCTGAGGGTACGATTGCGCTGAACTAACTCAGATTGTTTCTAATCCCTGGGTATGATTGAGCCGCCTTCAGTGGTGACGTAATATCTTAATGTCTTTCTTGTACCGCCACACCTTAATAGCTTAATGTGTTAATAGATGAAATAGGTTTGGTTATATAATTAAAATGGAAAAAAATATAAGAATTTATTCCAAGAATATAAATATAGTTATACTCACAGGTTTATATTTACTAACTATAAAATATTATGTATTATTGTTAGAAATATGCACATCTAATTAATTAGACTAAAGCCTAATTATTATCGTATAGTATTACCATATTTCTAAGAGACTCATTAATATTCATCTCATAGGGGTGCTTTTGCTCGTGGTGTGAAATTTCATAAACCTTTTTTATGAAATGATCCGCTATTTATATAATTTCACACTTTGAACAATAGCAGCACGCTGGGTTGAATATTAATAAGTCTCTTAGAAATATGGTACTACTATACTGTAAAGATTCAATATGCGGCCGGCGCAATCGTGCCCACAGCTTGTTAGGACCCGCTATCGAGACCAGATTATAGCAGGTACCATCGGCGCAATCGTCCCCTGCCAATTTGTATAGACGAATTTTTTTCTGAAATATCTATTTTGCAAATGATCAGAGCTAGCTCAAAGGACAAAAAAACAATAATTGATAAACTGTTTTATTTTTGGTTATCCGAATAGATATTACTTTTATAAACTACTATTACAATAAGAAAAAATGTGCTGATCGCTGAGCTTAAATTTGAAGATACCTGCGTAAATCTAATGGTAAACCCATTATTTTAAAATCACTGAAAATTTTGTTTTTTTTTGCAACTTTTATTTATTTAAATTTAAAGAAAAATTTTCCATATATATATATATATATATATATATATATATATTTCTGGCTGTAGTTAACTGAATTATAAGTTTTGTTGTACTATAGTTTCAATATCCTTTCATTAAAAAATTATAAACGTCGTATGTGCTGATTTCGTTTAGATTTACACATTTATTACTGAAAGTTTCATATCGATCGGCCCTTTTTGATCGTTATTCTTATTGATTAATGTTTATTATAAACTATATTCATGAATAAATCTCGGAAATATAAATTGCTGAATCGTCATTTTAAGTTTTATTTACTGATCTATAAATAGGACACTGGCACTTATCGTTATCAAAATGTACAGTATTCTAATATTCAGTTAAATATAAATCTTGTGTATAATTCTTTGTGCTTTTTTTATATTTTATCACATTTAGGAGAAAATTATTCCGCAGAAAGTATTATTATGTTGGATAATAAATATAATACAAATAAAGTAAATGAAAGAATTGTGAAATTAAAGGGACATAACTCATTAAAGCAATTTATAAGTGGAAAACTTGTTCGATTTGGGTACAAATTTTGGGATTTTTATGTAAGTACGGACACTGTTATGATTTTGACTTTTGGAGTTGGAGCGGAGGGTGCTAAGAATCTTCGGAAAAAATCAGGCTACTATTAGGTAGCACAGGCCCTTCCGGTAGCGATCCATGGAGGAGTATCACCGAGACGCAAGCCCTTATCTCTTGCCGTACTGCTCCACCATAGGCCAATCAGACACCAGCATATTCTAGTCTAAGCCGCAGATTCATTTAGAATTTTAAACTGCTGCGTTAGCCTTTTTATTTTCTGTACACCGAGTTGGGGATCTAACTCACTTCCTCTGAACCACTCGCAGTGAAGCCAATGAGAAACCGGCCGCCCAGCCAGCTTAGCTATCTGACCGACATATGCATCACAAATGCATATTACTTCATATAATTTTAGAATTCTTATTCTGGATAAGAAGATGATGAAATGGGAGGAAGAGCTGAAAACAATGAAATTGTGACATTATCAGCCTCAGATAACTAAGATGAAGAGAAAAAGCCCAAATTACTCTTAAATCAGGAACGTATTTCATATTATAGGAAAAGAAAACACTTCAAATGGTGGAGTAGGATTCATTATACACAGAAAGCACCCACAAAATATAATTAAAATTATTAGCATAAGCCCGAAGATTGTATACCTCATCTTCAAATTAAATGCAAGATATAAACATAAGGTAATCCAGACATATGCTCCAATGACTACTCACTCGGATGAAGAAAATGAAGAACTTTATGAGGACCTAGAAACAGCGTTTCATGACACACCAGAATATTACACAATAATTATGGACGACGTTAATACGAAAATGGGTTTTAAACAAGACAATGCGGAAGTAGCAATGGGTAAGTATGGATACGACGAAAGAAATGAATGAGGACAAAAATTTTTTACAAAGTGTCTTACACCAGGAAAATTGATCCATGATGAAATAATTATTTTTTTCGATCAAAAGCCTCAGAAATAATGGAAGACATCAAAATACTCGACAAATTTTAATTCCAATAGAAAGCGACTACAGATTAATCCGAGCTAAGATACGATTAAACGCCAAATTGAAAAGAACAAAGATGATCCCAAAAACACGAAAAAAAAAAGAAATGAATTCCTTCAGAAAACAACGATATGTATGAAGAAACACTGCAAGATACACCAGGCATCTGCAAGACTTGGAGTCTTGCAGGTGCCTGGAAGATGAAATAGAAGATGTAGATCAAGAAAATAATGTCATAACGAAGGTACTAAAAAAAATGAATCTCCATATTAATAAACGTTTAATTGAGATACCAAGGTTAACAACATTCTAGACTGGATAAGAAAATAAACCAGACTATTCGGAATGAAAATTTGGTTTAACAAACACAAAAAATCTTCTGTACATTTAAAAAACTCCACTGTACACGCTGCTGTACAAATCACGAACCAAATCATTAAGGTCACCTTGAGTTAATAAATGAGGCTCGGTGGCTACCTCAAAACTAGGATCTTGTATATTAACATTTTCTTCTTGATCTGGTTCAGGATATGTACGATCACTAATTTCCATGTATGTTGGAAGGGTAAGGACTATTATTAATTGCATATTTGAATTCTACCCATCACAATAAACACAAAATGATGCAAATATTATATGGGACCAAACACATGTTTTTCAGTATTATTTGGTCGAAACAAATTTTATTCAGTGCCGAAATTTTATTCTATAAGATCTATATAAGATTAATCCCTTGATTGGTTCATAGTTTGTACTGTATTTTTTCTGTACTGTACTGCATTATTTTCATAGTACCCGAATCCTACTCTAAACTAGCCTAACTTAATCTGATTATCTTAGTATGTTTTTTTTTTAAATTTAGCAATATCGTATTGGATTGAAATCCTAACCTAATACAAAATAAACATTGAAAACAAGCATAAAAAATGCTTTAAATTTTCGCTTATGATTAATGTATGGGGCTACATGATCTATCTTACCTCGCTTCTTGCACACATCAACTAAATAAAATAACCAAGTGGTGATTAAGTTGATTGGTGAAGGAGCTGTCGTGGTTCGGTGCATCGAACGAATCAACTTGCTCAATCCAAATTTCCACTCGATGTCAGATTGTGCCTAAAAGATAAGAAGGACACAAAACTTAGAAATGTGGTAAATACATTTTTTTACATTTAGCCCAGTTAATACTAATTTAATTTACTTATTGTGATTCACCTGCTTAGATCTAACAAACACATTCACTAATTAGGGAACTTTCAAACGAAGAACTCTATTACATGACTCAATAAACAAAAAAATAAAATGTAAAGTAATTCTTTTCAGAACGAATCCTTAAAAAAATTGAAGTTTTGGTAGAAAAATATGGATTTAAGTCAAAAGTATCAGTTTAAGATAACTGCGTCATTGTTTAAACATTGTTTTAATAGCAAAAATCACCGGAAATCACTATTTTTAATTTTTTCACTACTTCTTTCCTAATTATAAGTTTTTATTTTTGGTTTTTTAAAGGTAATGAAAAAATTATTCATTTGAGACCTTCCCAATTAAATATTTGGTTGATAATTTATTTAAACAATTGCAAAAAACTGCAAGAACTTGTAGGAGTAATCAACATAAAAAGGCATAAATAATAACAAAAGCTACACAAAAATGTCTTTTAACATTCTTAAGGTCGATTTATACATATCCGTGCCGTGTCCGTTCCACATCAGTGCGGAGTACGGGTATTTTTAATGTTATATTTACATACAACCGCATTGTAGAAGTGTTTATTCCGAGCCGAATACGAGAGGAAAACGTCATTATATATTTTTGTGTAAAAGATAGTCTCTAACATCCGTTCAACATGACCCATCTAGCGCAGACGTCCAATCTTTATGGATGTTATGACCTCGGGTTTATTGTGTGCTGTGTATAGTTCAAAATTATATCTTCTACTCCATGTCATTTTCTTTCACCCCCTCATATGTCTAAGGATGTGTCTAAGGATTTTTCTTTCAAACGTACCTAATAGGTTCTCATCGCTTTTCGACAGTGTCCATGTCTGTGATCCATATACAAGGACCGGTTTTATTAGGGTTTTGTATATTTTGGATTTAGTTTTTCTTGTGATGTTGTTAGATCTTAGCTGTTTAATTAGCCCATTAGATGTTTTATTAGTGAGATGTATTCTTTTCTTAACTTCTTCACTTACATTGTTATCTGCAGTAACTAGTGAACCTAGATATGTAAAATTTTTCACGCTTTCGATGTTATAGTCTTCTATTGTCAGATTCTGTAGGTTTCTTTGGCCTGTCGATTTGCTGGCCTTCATGTATTTGGTTTTTATTTCATTAATGTTTAGGCCACTGTTTTGTGCCGCTCTTTCTATCGCATTAAATGCTTCTATCATCTCTCTTTCGCTTCTAGCTATGATATCAACATCATCTACAAATGCCAATATTTGTACACTTTTTGTTATTATTGTTCCTCTGGTGTTGACTTTTGACTCTCTAATTATTTTCTCTAATGTGATGTTGAATAGAATACAGGATAGGGCATCTCCCTGTCGTAGGTCCGTTCTCACATGGATTGTATCTGTGAGTGCATTTTGAATTCGAATAAAAATCTTTATAAGGTCGATTTATAACGTTTAAGATTAATTTTTTTTATAATTATTAAATGAAAAATTATGGAAGTATAAACAGTGGTTAAAAATGTTTACAAAAAATTAAAATAAAAGAACTTTTACACATTATTGTTAATTGAGGAATGTATGTAGTTCACATCAGTAGAATTGTATAATTTTGTTTTTTTATTTAACACCTTTTTTTTAAACAAATATAAAAAAAAAATATTTTTAATAAATTTAATCACGTATTATTGTGGTTTTAGTGAATTGAAAATTTTAATAACTATAAAAATTCTTATAGTGCATTAACATAATTTTTTTTTATAAAATCTAATATTTAAAATTAATACTTATGCATAAATATAACAGCTATTTAGAAAAAATAATTCCGAGCGATGGGCTCAAATCAACATTTATTACATTACCAAAAAAGCCTAATGCAGGGAATGTAATGACCACCGTAGAATTATTCTAATGTGTCACACACTAAAAATATTCTTAAAAATTAACCATTTAAGAATTTTAAGTGGAACAAGACATCACTGAAACCCAATTTGGATTTAGGAATGCCATGGGTACATGAGACGCATTATTTGGAATAAACGTCCTTATGCACAGATGTATGGATGTAAACCCATCACTCTACGTTTGTTTTATTGATTACAATAAGGCGTACTTATACAGTTACTTAAAAATAAACACATTGACAAAAAAGACTTAAGAATAATAACTCATCTCTACTTTAACCAAACAGCAAAAGTCATAGTAAGCAAAGAACTTTCGGAGGAAGTAGAGATAAAAAGAGGCGTAAGGCAAGGTTGCATACCCTTATTGTTCAATCTATATTCGGAAGAAATAATTAAAAAATCACTCGAAAATGTAACAATTTGAGTAAAAGTCAACGACAGACCCATCAACAATATCAGATATGCCGATGATACTATACTAATTGCAGAGAATATACAAGATCTACAGACACTCTTAGATAATGTAGTAAATGCTAGTGAGGAAAGTGGACTAACGCTTACTGCTAAGAAAACAAAATTTATGCCAATTTCCAAAATACAACAAGACATTTTAAACATAACAGAGGTTTCAATAGAAAAAGTAAAAAAATACAGATATCTTGGTACAATTATTATTGAAAATAACGAGTATGCAGAAGAAATAAAAATGAGAATTGGACAAGCCGGGGCAACATTTAATACAGTGAGAAAAGTATTATGCAGTAGAGACCTTAGTTTGCAACTCAAAATAAGAATATTATGTTCATATGTGTTTTTGGTGCTGCTGTATGGGGTGGAGGCCTGGACCTTAAAGATAGAGTTGAGCGATCGACTTGAAGAATTCGAGATATGGACCTACCGAAGAATATTAAAAATAAGTTGGGTAGACCGAATAACAAATGTTGAGGTCCTCAGAAAGATAACAAAGAAAATGGAAATCATGAATAAAAAATGAAAAGGGATAAATATGTGTTGCTACAAACCATAATGCAGGGAAAAATACAGGCAAAACGAAGTATTGGAAGAAGGCGCATCTCCTGGCTCAACAATCTGAGAAAATGGTATAGTTGCAGTTCCATCGACTTGTTTAGAACTGCAATCTCAAAAGTGAAAATAGCTGTGATGATTATCAACCTCCTTAAAGGAGACGGTACCTAAAGAAGAAGAAAAATAATTATTTTTCGCTTGTGTAATAAGCAAATAGGGAATCCACTTTCTATTGATCCGTTTAACCGTTGATTGAATAATCCAAAGTTTAACTTTGTCTTGGAGGCAATAATGAAAGAAAGTAAGATCCAAACGACGGATACTATTTTCCACTATAACCAGCAATTTATAGCGTACGCAGATGATGTAGTCCCCTTAACAAGAACAAAAAAAAGAACTTGAACACATGTTTAAGAACTTTGAAGATGAAGCAAGAAAATTTGGATTGTATATAAATGAAGCGAAAACAAAGTATATGGAAATGCGTGGTGTGATAACAGAATACAATAAATTTGTCTCATTTAAAACGAGAGGTAAGGATTACAAAATTGAAAATGTCAGTTAGGTCAAGTATTTGGGTGTAACAATAACGAATAAATGGGAAAAAATAGAAATAGAAAAAAAACTATTAAAAAAAAGTAGATCAATGGGCTCATTAAACAATATACTAAAAGCAAAAAATGTATGTAGGGAAGCAAAAATTCGATCCGAAACTGTCATTCGGCCAGTGGCAGTGTATGCCTGTAAGATCTGGACTATGAATAAGCAAGACTAAATGAAAATCGAGATCGGGAAAGGAAGGTGTGTGGAAGATTTTTGGTGGTAAAAATCATGAATGTGTTGCTTGTGTGAGTCCATTTCAAATAGGTAAAGAAATAATAAATAAGACTTACAATCAATTTAATTTAACTATCAGACGACCGGTTTCGCTTTCTACAATATGCAAAGCATCCTCAGGTCTCGATACAAAGTTAAACAAATGATGCCGGTACTCTATTAATTGATGTATGGTAGAACATGGTTGAAACTACTATGTATTGTTGAATGGAGAACTCAATTCTGTTATTGCAGTTGTTTGACAGTAAACGGGAAGTTCTTGAGGAGATCGATTTGATCCAATGAAGAAGAGATATGTGTGTGATTGTTTGTTAAATGAAAGTGATGTAATATACCATTGTATTATTAAAAGTTATTTATACTTATTCGAGAGATATATTTATGAAATGTGTGTTATTTATTGAGTAATTGTTTTATGAAGGTGACAGTTTTATGACAATGAATAAGTTTAGATGTAAAAATTGTGTGGGTGTGCAAATATTTTTTAACTTGTAGTTATCAAATTACTTTGATAAAGTTCTATTGGCAATTAGTAAATTATTGAAAAGTCAAGTCAAGTAAATAAAATATTAGAATAAAAACAATTAAGGACAATTTAAACACACTAAAACAGAAAACACTTAAAAGGGACGAAACAAACATTAAATTTAAAAGCGGGGAAGGACTTTAATGAACTACATCACTGTCTTGGGCACAATGAGTTTTTTATGTTGTATCTATTGTGAGTAAGTCTTATTTATTATTGTGAGTAAGTCTTATTTATTATTTCTTTACTTATTTTTGGTGGTATTAGGATGGCGGAGGGAAAGAACATATAAAGAGGTAATGGAGATGTATGGAAAACCACTAATTGTAAAAAAGTCAAAGCACAGAGAGTCTTCTTTAGCCACATGCACAGTACACACTTTATATTTTAATGTCTACTTTAGAACTACATCTTAAGAGTGGCTACTACAATTAGTAGATTAAAAAAACATCAAAATTGGCTCAGTACTTCGAGAGATATAAAATTTTCAGACTAATTCAATTTAAATTTTCGATTTCAGTTTTGAACGCGACGAGTTCATTCTCCCCACTACTTTTCATATTTGGAATTAGTTGAAACTCACACTTTTCAAATTGTTATTTATAATAATAAAATAAACCATTTTTAATTTTTATAATAGTCATTCTTA